TTTGCAGCAATCCTCCTGCCTCAGCTTCCTTTGTCAGGGGTCATTATTGTCAAACTTGTTTTTTGACACAGTGTTTGGCATTATGTAAATATTGAAGAGATCATTGATTCCCAAGGGTTTCTGTTCAAAAGACTCCATCAAAACACACATCACGAGGGAAGTGTGACGGCACACACCTGTAATCCCTGCATTAGGCGGGTGAGACAGGAGAATCCCAAGTTCAAGCCCAGCTGCAATTTAGCAAGACACTGTCTCAAAAATAAAAACATGGGCCAGGGTTGTAGCTCAGTGTGAAGGCCTTGGGTTCAATCCCCAGTACCACACAAACAGGCACAACAAAAGCAACTATAAATTCTGTGTTGGACTGGGGATGTGGCTCAGTGGTAGAGCTCTTGCTTTACATGCACAAGGCCCTGGCTTCGGTCCCCAGCACCACATTAAAAGAAATAATAAATTTTGTATTTAAATTTATTACAAATACAGGAAAGTGTCCCTACCGAAATGTGCATCTCGATTACCTTTTATAAACCCAACAGTCATTCAGGGAGCTTTCATAAAACCGTTCGTTCATCTGATCCACAGAAGCCCCCGTACTGCCCCCTTAAGAGGACCCGGCTTTAATCAGCTATTCCTGGTAGTCGTAGATTTGCTGGAAGAGTGTGAGTTGCATGTGTAGGTCCCTGGGTCTCACCAGCGTCCTTCACAATCCCGTACCCCTAAGCAAGGACCACTGACACGGGGTGGGGGCTTGTTGTTTAATGGGGGCGTAAATGAACGCTTGTGAACATAAAACCTACGTTTTCAGTGGAAAAGGTAGGCTGGTAACAAACTGTAGAAAAATAGTGATCGGCCGGACGTGGTGGCACACGCCTGTAATCCCAGCACTCGGGAGGCTGAGGCAGGAGGATCGGTGCGAGTTCGGGGCCAGCCTGGGCTACAAAGTGAGCTCAAGGCCAGTCTGAACTCCATAGCGAGACCCTGTCTCAAAAAGACAAAAAAAAAAAAAAAAAAAGGAAGAAAAGAAAAGAAAAATAGTGTTCACTTTAAAAACCTGAACCATGGGCTGGGGATATATAACTCAGCAGGCGGAAGCGCCTGCCTGACCAGCACAAGGTCCTGAGTTCGATTCCCAGTACGAAAAATAAAAATAAATTAAAAACCCGTACCGCACATGCAGCCCCGGACACCTCCGGGTACTCAACATGGCCGCATGCGCGTCTGTGAGCAATATGGCCGCTCTGCCAGGCTCCAGCATGGCCTTTGCGGCCTCACCGCGGCCGGAAGCACGCGCGCGCGCGCCCATAAGGAATGCATCCGCTATTCCGTCAACACCGACGGTGGTTCTCAAAGCGAGAAACCGGAAGTGACTTTTCGTCTGGCGGCTCTCTAAGGGTCCTCCTTCCTGTGAGTTTTCGGCGTCCGTGTGAGACTTGGACGTTTCCAGGCACCTTCTGGGAGGTGCCGGTGCGTCGCGCCGGGTTCCGCTGGCCTCCGGGTGGGAGACCAGGATGTCCGACACGTGGAGCTCCATCCAGGCGCACAAGAAGCAGCTGGACTCGCTGCGAGAGAGGCTGCAGCGGAGGCGGAAGCAGGACTCGGGGCACCTGGGTGAGGAGCTGCAGACAGGCGGGAGGCGGGGACGCCTGAAGAGGGCGGCGGCTCCCGCGGCGGGGCGCTTTCCGCGCGGCCCGCTGTCCTCGCTCGCCTTTGAGCGGCTGCTCAGCCTCGCCCGCGAGCCGCCCGCCACCCCTTTTGGTGCTGCGGCGGCACTTTGTTCTTCCCTCGGTTGTAGTGACTGCTTTTTAGCAGTCGTCTCTTGGCGACTTTGGGCACAGTGAACTCTCAGAACTGAACCTTTATATCCAGTTTAGAGGCCCACAGAGTCCTCGCTAGTGTTGGTAGGGAGGGAAACTGACATCTGTTATACCTAGCAAGAGTCTGAAAACTGGGTTTTGTTTTGTTTTTTAAAAAGACAGGATCTCGCTGTGTAGTTCAGGCTGGCCTTGAACTCGATTGTGTAGCCCTAAGCTGGCCTCGAACTCATGGCGATCCTCCTGCCTCAGCCTCCGGAGTGCTGGGGTTACAGGCGTGTGCCACCACGCCCAGCTGTTTTTGATGTTTAATAATGTTCTTCGGTCCTGTGTATTACTAGTCATAAACCTTGAAGGAGGACCAGGCCTGAGGGTGCACCCCTGTAATCCCGGCTATTTGGGAGGGTGAGGCAAACATCCTAAATTCGAGGCCAGCCTGGACAATTTAACAAGTTCTCTCACAAAACAAGAGTTTAAAGGGACTAGAAGTGTAGTTCAGTGGTGAAGCGCTTGTCTGGCATGTGCAGCTTGTGCATGGTTTAAATCCCCAGCACCGAAAAACAGGACAACTTTTTTTTTTTTTTTTCGGTCGTTTTGAGACAAGGTTTCATTATGCAGTTCAGGCTGGCCTTCATCTTCACTTTGTAGTCCAGGCTGGCTTCGAATTTTTTTTTTCTTCCTGTACCAGGAATCGAATTCATGACCTTGTGCTTGCCAGGCAGGTGCTTTGCCACTGAGCTAAATCCCCAGCTGGCCTCGAATTTGCAGCAATCCTCCTGCCTCAGCTTCCTTTGTGCTGGAATTATAGGTGTGTGCCACCATGCCTGGCTAAAACAACTTGAAGGGATTTCGAAAGGTTTTCCACACATCCCCTAAGCACCCACCTTACTCCCAGCACAAATCCTGAGCTATTTAAGGAAAATCAGTTACAAAGCTGTTCAAGGATAGAGAATCCATGCTATGCTTTTGGTATTTTGTTCCATTGTTTATCATTGTTCTCAACACCTTCTGTAAACCTTGTGTTTTTTTTTTTTTTTTGTAAACCTTGTTTTGATCACATATTGTTGATGTGCTCTTATGCCAGTGCCTAGAACTAGAATATTCATGTCAGGCTCCTCACACCATAATTAGTAAGCATTTCTTTTATATCTGTAGTGTTCATGAGTCTAGTCAGACAAGAAAAGACGTTGTCTCTACTCATGAGTTTAAAATTTAGTTGAGAATTAAGGATAGATGCTTATAAAGCATCAGAAACACAATGCAGTATATACAAATGAATGAGACCGCAGTTAGTACAGTGAAAGAACGAAGGCACAAGAACCAGTGCAGTCAGGGATGGCTGCACAGAGGAGCTGGCGCTTGAATTTGGCCTTGATAGCTCTGTAGGACTTAAAGGCAAGAGCACAGTGTAGTACAGTGTAAAACAGGATCAGGGGATAATTAGTAGTCAGTAGTTACTGAACTGCCTAGTTAGTGCCAGCCAGAGCAACTTATCAAGACTTTTATCTAAAAACAGAAGAGGGCTGGGGATGTGGCTCAGTGGCAGAGCACTTCCTAACATACATGAGGCCCTGGGTTCCATCCCAGACACCACAAGCAAGCAAACAAAAAAACTTGCTTTTTTTTTTTCCTTTTGGATACAGGGTCTCACTATGCTGTTCAGGCTGGCCTTGAGCTCACTTTTTAGCCCAGGCTGGTCTCAAACTCGCTACGGTCCTCCTGCCTGAGCCTCCCCAGTGCTGGGATTACAGGCGTGCACCACTGCACCGAGCTAAAATCCTGCTGTTAAGCTGTTTGCAAAAGTGCAGATCGAGATGAAACTGCAAAGACATTTCTCTTGGTTAAAGAAACCAAAACATTGACAGAGGAGAGACTAAGAAGAACTATTGTAAACTTCAGCTTCTCTGGCTTGGAAATCTGGTTTTCTTTCTTTTTTTTTAAGGGACAATTGTAAAGCTGAACATGGTGGTGCACACCTGTAATCCTGGCACTTGGAAAGTTGAGGTGGGAGGATTGCTGTGAATTCTGTGCCATCCTGAACTACAAAGCAAGACCTTGTCTCCAAAAAAAAAGAAAATCAATTGTAGGTAGAAACAAGTTAAACTTCTTTTGTAGCCAAATGACTCAGTTGCTTTTTAATTAATTTATCCTAGACTCCAGCTACTGGATTTAAGTACATAATCACTTTTTCAGAAACATCAGTTGAAAAGGATATGATTAGAGGCAGTTCTACTGTGTGGTTTTTTGTGTTTTTTTTTGGTACCAGGAATCAAACTCAGGACCTTGCACTTGCCAGGCACGCAGTGTGCCACTGAGCTTTATTCCCAGCCCCTGTTCTGCTATATTTATATGTGTATTTCTGAAAAATCTTGTGTTATGCAAAAGCATGTATTCAAAATAGCAGATCTTGGGTGCAGATGTAGCATAGTGATAGAATATTTGGAGGCCCTGTGTTTGATCCCAGCACTGTCTAAATAAATAAAGCAGCACATCTAATAGAAGATAGGTTTAGAAAAGAATTACATAGCTGAGGGGCTGGGGATTTAGCTCAGTGGCAAAGCGCCTGCCTGGCAAGCACAAGGTCGTGAGTTCGGTTTCTGGTACTGGAGAAAAACCAAAAAAAAAAAAAAAAAAGAATTACATAGCTGGGTATGGTGGCGCACACCTGTAATCCCAGCACTCAGGAGGCTGAGGCAGGAGGATCATTGCAAGTTGAAGACCAACCTGGGATACAAAGTGAGCTCAAGTCCAGCCTGAACTCAAAAAGCCAAAAAAAAAAAAAAAAGAAAGAGTACTTAAAACCTATGTAATTTTGTTACAACAGCCCTTACAGCAGAAATTCTACTAAAAATACTAGCATAGTTAAATCTCTACTGGTGTTTCCACCTACAGTAAAAGTCACTTATTTTATACTTGCAGCTTATAACCTGGGACTCTTACCTCATACTCTGTCCTCTGTCAGTGTTTTGGTTTGTTTAACCAAGGAAAATGTCCTTGTAGTTATCAGCAGGACCTGCATCTTTTTTTTCTAGACAGGGTCTTGCTATATAGTCAGGCTGGCCTTGAATTCAGTATGGAGCCCAGGCCGACCCTGAACTCCTGGCAATCCTACCTCAGCCTTCCAAGTGCTGGAATTTAGGCATGTGCCACCATGCCCTGTGTGGACCTGCATCTTTGCAGACAGCCTAACAGCAGGTTTTGAGGGGGCAGGGGTTTGATTTTTTTGAGACAGGGTCTTG